GTTTCCACCAAGCTGAACTTCTCTCTTTCAGTATATTCAGCTCTCTGAAGGTGAATGGAAATTGAACTGTATGTCCTGGTTGGCTTTGTTTCAGCCCAGTTCCATGAGTGAACTTCTTGTGTAAAAACAGTTTTCCCAATGCCAGCCACTCCCTTTGTCATCACTGTTCTGACTGGTTCATCTTTCCAGGTGAGACTTTAAAGATGTCTTCTTGTCTGATGGTTGTTTCTGGTCTGACTGGTTTCCTGGAATGCTGTTTCAATCTGTCTGACCTCATGTTCATTATTGACCTCTCCAGTCCCTTCCCTCTGTGATGTAGAGCTCTGTGTAGATCTGATTCAGAAGGTTTGGTTTCCTGCTTTAGCGCATCCCCCTCAAAACACAAGCTGGAACTTCTTCTTCAGAGTAGATTTTGAGTTTACGTTGACTAAATGCAGCAGGTGTTCCTGAATAATACATCCTGTAAGACAGCAACCATCAATAAGTGATGTTAAGAGAAAATCTAACATTTTTATTCCCCTTGAAGAATATGTTCATAAACACAGTTTTCCCGCATTGACTTAAATGTCCCCATTTATCCATGATGTTAATCTGGCAACAAGACAACTTTTTTGTATCAATTTATCATCATGAGTAAAGTTGATAAGGCAATATGAGTTAAGTAAGACCAGTCAAAGGCTGGTAAAATATTTTTTTATATATTTGTATATATATTTTTATATAAGATTTCTTAAAGATTTTTTTCTGGTCCACGGATTTGGTGGCCAACAAGGTTTTGCTGTGGGCATTAGTCAGATGTTTGTTTCTGGGCTGCTGTGGTAGTTTTCTCCAACATGGCTACCACTAGCAGCCAGAAACAAACATCTGTGATTTATTATCTGTTTGATAATGTACTTTATATCTTTAGCGAAATCCTCTTACTGCTTCTGCAGACAAGTCAGCCAGCTCCTCCTGCTTCATTCTCCTCAGAAAGTTCATGGTAATCTTCAGAAATGCCCTCTCTGCTGCTCCTCCTCTGCTCTTCATCCTCACATCCAAGCACCTCCTCATCCTCCCCCTGACACTCTAAGCCTTGTGGGAAATCTTGGACTCAGAACCTTCTGGATCTTCTTCAGCTCGTTCTTCACAAAAGTGACCATGTTCTCCTCCAGCATCTGGAACAGAACACTATATGAATGACACCAATGAAACTAAAACCTGGACCCAAACATCAGATCCATGTTGGACAGACTGATAATCCACTGGCCTAAAAGTGCAGCCATGGAGGGTTATTGTGAACACAACAGATGGAACAGTAGTTTGTACATATACAGACCATAAATATGGAGTCCAGCTGTGTTTATGCTGCTGGGCAGACTGACCACTGGAACCTCTGAGCTCTCCTGGTCCACTCTGTGGAGGAATCATGAAGAATGAGCCACATTATGTCTGTCCACACAGAGACAGACACAAGCTAAAGGTCCATGAAGTCACGTTTGGATGTGAACAGTGATCAGACGACTCCCTGTAGTGGTGTAAAGGTTTACTAGTCCTGCTGATCCCACTGAGAATCAACAGCTCAGTCTGCAGCTCTTTGTTGCTTTCAGCTCAGTGTTTCACCAACCCTCCCATATAGCTCTCCTCCCTCTACTGAATACTGCTGAAGTGCCCTGGAGCAAGGCACCTACAACCTGCTGCTCCAGTGGAGCTGCTCAGTGTCTGCTTGAAATCAGCCTGGTTGTACTGGGCAGCTCAGTATGAACAATGACAATGGACCAGTAAAGGTGTCACTGAGTAAATGACATTAAAACATTTTAGGGGATCAGTTTACTCCATCAGAGGTGTTTGTCAGATGGTCAACAGCATCTGAAACACACACCTCCCCTGTGATTGGTCAGCTGTGTGTACGTGACAAATTGGGTGGGGTCTGAACTTCTCTTTCAGCTCTTATTTTCATTCTTGATCTTCTCATTCATTTCTGCCACTTTTCATGTGAACAACTGAGGTCAACTCTATGAATGTCTTCCAGGAGAGACTGACTGAACATGGGAGAAGTTATCTCCATATTTGGAACCACATCATGTCTCCCCCCTCTCTATGACGGCCAGAGTTTTACCTCCACCTTCCAGTGTGGACACAACAGATAGAAACACTTTGATATTAGTCCTTGTTGACTTTTTCTTTTCTACAACCTGAGTCTTACTGTCAGTTACAGCTTACATCTGTCAGCTGATGGACGTTGTCTTTTAAAACCAATGAGCTTGCCCTTCGACGCGGTCGCTCTTTAAAGACAGACAGCTAGGTTCAGGAGAGTCTGGTCTCTGCTGCTGGATCCTGAAACAAAAAACAGAACTGATAAATGTGCATGTTGGATAAAATCTGATGAAAAAATATGTTCAATCTTTGAATAAACACTGAACTAATTTTTAGTGTGAAATGTCTTTCTGACAGTTTTAAATTCTGACCTTCCATCAACAGATTGGCTGAATTTAAGAGGAGGAGACATTGATGTTGCTCTTCATGGACACACAGCTGGGTCCTGGTCCAGGTCCAGCAGAGTCTGGTGTGTGCTGCTGCTCTGGACTTGAACACAACACAACAACACACACAGAGCTTTGATTGCGAATAATGATGAAGCAAGGGATCTGAGTGCTGAGCTCTGACATGGAGAAGATTCATGGATAGTTAAAGATCCTCATCTCACCTCTGAGCTCTGGTCCTGGCTCTCATGTTCCCACACACAGTGGTTTTTAGAGGGAGGGGCTCCCTTCTTTTCTGTCCTCACACTGATCATGCTGCTGAGTTCACATCCACATCAGCTCACAACACACTTTCTACCTTCCATGTGGAAAGAAACCACACATCATTCATCTGCACATCAGCTGAAATTTACAATAATTTCCTCCTGTAAAAATACCAGCTGCTCCTCCACAGACTGGCTCTTTCTCTCTGTTTTATATCATAGTGTTTCAGTTTGAATGCAGACAGACAGCAGTGATGAAGAGGAAAGCTGCCATCAGCTGCAGTACTTCTCCTATCAGTCCACTAGATGGCATCATGGAGCTGTGGTAAAGTGAAGAGCAGCCCGGCAAACACACGCTGCGTGGATGAACATTAACATCCACTGACACGCAGAAGGACTGAGATGCACTGAATCATTTCACCTTAGATTAATGTCTTACACCTCAATTAATTACTAGGGTAATATAACCTGACAATGCAAAAATGTGAAATTTATCTGCCAGGAAAACAGTCAATTCAACAAAGCAGGACAATCAGAAATAACACACTAAGTAGATCTGTGGTTATAGATCCAAAAAATGTGAATCTTTTAAATGTATTTATTTTTGTTCATATACATGAAATAATTCCTATGTTAATGTAAACCATCTGTATAAAAGAGGAGTTTGTTTTGTGTTTTTAGTTCCGTTAACTTTCTGAATATCATTTACAGCATTAAAAACTAAACGTCACACAGGTCAAATATATTCAATGTCAGTCCTGCCCCTTAATCTCGACTGTTCAGTTTACAGATATTCACATTCAGTTGCAATAGCACCACAATGCTACAGTAATACCACGACAAACACCACAATCACAATAACACTATAGTAACACCACAATAACACCTCAATAAAACTACAGTGACACCACAATAACACTTCACCAACACTACAGTGACACAATAACACCATAATAATTCCAGTAACAACTCAATAATTTGAGCATCAGATTTCTTCTGTTTTTCTATAACTCAGGTAATGACAGGTGTTAACAAGTAAATCATAAAAATTGCTAACATTACCTTCAGAGGAGAAAATAACCTGCGCCACAATGTTGGTTCAAAGTGAAACTTAACTTCACTAAACTAACGCCAAGAGATCCCTGTGCGTATGTGTGGGTGGAGCAGGGTGAATAACTGCCAAGAATCAAAGGTGTAAGATAAAGATAAGAATGGCGGCACGGTGGTGCAGTGGTTAGCACTGTCACCTCACGCAAGAAAGGTTCTGGGCATTTCTGTGTGAAGTTTTGCATGTTCTGTGTGGGTGAATGTGAGATGAATGGTTTTTTGCCTCTATATGTCAGACCTGTGATAGCTTGTCCGCAATATACCCCACCCTCGCACAGTGTCAGCTGGGATTTACTCCAGCCCCCCTGCGGCCCTCAAAGATTAAGAAATATAGCTAAAAGATGGCAAATTTATCACACAGAAATAAAAGGTTAAGAACCCCTCCACCCCACCACAGCCCTCAGAGATAAAGATCAGCAAACTGATCACATTAAACTAAAAGTTTAATCTTAAATTGCAGTTTAACGTTGTGTCACACAACTTTGAGACACAAACATTTCAACAAACAACCAAACTCCTGGAGTCTGTTTTAGAAGCAAGTTTTGTGAAAAGTCTAGAAACCAGATCACTTTAACTGTGTAATATAGGCCCTATATATGCAAATAAACATGGATTAGTTGTTGTTTTTAGCCAATCGACAGACCGACAGGTCCGTTGTCAATGTGCTTGTGTGTATGTGTGTGTATGAGTGAGGGGAGAGAGCGAGCAAGTCAAGTCACTGTGCACAGCTCTTACAATGAAATAAGGTTTTATACATTTGAAATAGTAAAATATTTTCGGTTCATTATGAAATGGCAGGACTAATCAGACTGTGACAGAGGACATCAGTAGAGTTTGTCTATAACTCCCTCATTTTGGCTGATTGGTGCATCCAGTTGAATTGACTCAAGGTCACGCTGGAAGGTTCCCTCAACACCTTTTCCCCTACAGTCACCTTCACCCGCTCCCACGGCTCTTTTCATCGAAGATTTGGAGGGAGGTTGACGTGATTTCCTACCTTTATTCCAGCGATGCTTTTGAACCCTAATTTTAGTATTGGCTTTTTTCATGCCATCGATTATTGCTTTTAGCTCCCTGTTTTCTTTTTCCAGCCTCTTAATTTTTGCTGTCAACTTGGGTTGACGAACCTTTTGAGGGGGACATGGATTTGAGGAAAGAGAACCATGAGCAGGAGAAAGATGAACTGGACTTAAGGACACATCAAGTTCTTCGGGTGATGGGGGAGTAATGTCCAAAATGGCTGTCAGATCCTTCTTCTTCTTCCTGTTCCTTGCCTTTGTCTTCCTCCATTCCTCACGAAGCTTTGCTTTCTTGTGTTTTGGAAGGCTGGTTATACTTCGTGGCTTGATTTCTCCTTTGGCTTTCTTTTCTTGATATCTGTTGATGGAACAGAGACAGCTGTTACATGTTTTCTGTACAAGTGTACATCTTAGAGAATGTTTCACGAACTCAATGTCCCTATTATGAACTTATTTACTTTCTCCTTCTCTCCCTAAGGATCTCCTCATGCCTGGCTTCATCCTGCGCTAACCCGGTATCTCCTTGTCCTTTCTTTGCTCATGCCTAAAAACTGACAAAAATCACTTTAAAAACAATGATCAGTAACTGTTAACATACACATACAGCAAACAAATGAAGACTGATATTTAATATATGTATAATATATACACTGGTAATATATATATATTGGTATATTATGTATAATGAAGACAGAAATATAAATGTGTAATATATGTATAATATAGGTATATTGTGTATAATATTTATAATATTTGTTTAATATACATATAGAGACAGAGATATCTTTATATTTATGTTTAATATTGCAAACAGAACAGATGATAATTTAGCTAGACATCTGACTTAATTATGTCACACCACAGGACTCTTTCACCTTGGTAGCCATTTTGAGTCATTGCTATACAAGACTGACCTTGGGCATTACAGTTACTGAATAAGTTCATTGTTTTAAACATAAATATGATTCTTTTTTGAAAATATTTGTCTTTTTTCTCCAACTAGATCAGTTACACCACAGGACTATCAAAAATGAACACGCTCATGGTCCGTCAGGAACAATGAAATTTATAAAATTAATATGAGATTAACACTCACCTTTCAACCTTCTTGGCACATGCAAACATCTGGGGGTCTTCTTGGTAGGGGGCTTGACTAAAGGACCCCTATGGCTGTCCATGTAACCACCAGTACAAAAATCTAATATCCTATCTCACACTGCAGGACAGCATTTGTGTTACAAAACTAAATGTACTATAAATATTATTTTTGTTCTTTTTAGCATTTTGAGTCCTTAAGTCAATGAAGTAAATACATACAAAATAATGCCAATGCATTTATTGGCTGCTCCAAACATATCTGCTTCATTTTACTAATGTTTACATTTGATGAGTCATCAATGTTACAGTCACACCGCAGGACATTTTGCTATTCACATTGAAATATGAACAACACCAAATACATTTTACGTCCCAAAATCATTATATTGAAATAAAATGATGTTCTCTGCCCCAATGACGTGTGTTGTTTTAGTTGAGAAATGCAGTTGAGTAAAAATTTATACTGAATTACAGAAAAAACAGGCGTCACGTCATCTGCCCACATGAATCTGAAAACGTACGAGCGAAAAAGACTCACACGAACAGACTGAAATATCTGTTCAACAGTGAGAATGTTTCTCTAACAGAAGGAGACTACTACACTGAACACAGAGACATTGAGGCACCAGGCCAGACTCTAAAAGCAGGATAAGGTGGTTCAGTGAATGTGGTGTTGAAGGTGTAGATGTGGATCAGTGAGTCAGAGGAGATTCTGTAGAAAGACAGAGTGCCAGCAGGACAGTCCACATATACTGCTACTCTGTTTGAGTCAGAGGAAGAGGAGGAAAAGAAGGAAGAGGAGGGGAGAGGAATGGATGTACCTCTGTTATTGTGATAGACAGAGTAAACACCATCACAGCAGAACAAACTCCAGGACTGCTCATTCATTCCAAAAGCACAGTCATCACCATCTCCTTTCCTGCTGATTCCTCTGTAACTAAGTGATACATGAACCTTTCCTCTCCAGTCAACTTCCCAGTAACAGCGTCCCATCAGACCATCTCTACACAGCAGCTGAGGAAGGTCAAATCTGTCTGGATGTTCAGCATATGACTGATCCTCCTCCACGTGTGTCATCGTCCTGTTGTTGTCAGACAGTTTGATCTTTCTTTTTACTGTGTTTGTGTCGAGAGTGAGTTCACAGGAATCTGATAGAGAACAAGACACAACTGCAGTCATTGATCTATCATCTGATCATTTATGCATGACATCAGTGATGTGACAGTTTGAAGATGGTTGAATGTGCTGCTTTGCTTTCATGAATCAAATCAAACACACTTACACTTCCTCAGACCTGGTCTCAACCATCGGACTCCACCAGGCTCCACCCTGAAAGGAGGAGGGGCGTCAGACATTCTCTTTCAGCATGCACACATGGACATTACATGGCTCTCATACACTGTTATAACCTGATAAAGGAACAGTCAAACATTTTAAGAAATACACTTGAAAGTAGCATCTCAAAAGTAATTTTATGTGGTTGCCAGTTTCAAGCACAGTTTTAACTGCTTAATCATGTTTTTTTGTTTCTCTTTTGATAGAGCTAAGCTAACAGTTTCCCCCTGCTTCCATTATTTGTGCTAAGCTAGGCTAACCATGTCCGGGGTAAGAAGACAAAAAAGAATATTCCTCAAAATGACAGGCACTTCTTTTAACATGCAGAGATTTGTCCAAACTGCATAAATTATTACCAGGTACTATTTAGTTTAGTATAGTTTAGAATATTTTGTAATGATGGAAAAGTAACACAAATGTAATACACAATGATTTACTACAGGACTTTTTCTTCTACAGTATTTTTTACTGTGCAGTAGTTTCACCAGAAGATATAAATAAAATGTGCAAAGATTTTTTATGTTGCAATGATAAAATGGAAATCTATTTTCATAATTTCTCCAGAGCAGAGAGCAGAGCCGATACATTAGAGCTTATCAATACTACGGTCTTTAAAACTTTAGCCGCAGGACCCGTTTAACACCAGGTTTCGGTATCCATCCTTATGCCACACCTGAGAATGTCCAGTCTCCAGTCTGGATCCTCCAGTCCAGCCGACAGCAGCTTCACTCCCAAGTCTCCTGGATTATTGTAGCTCAGGTCCAGCTCTATCAGATGGGAGGGGTTGGAACTCAGAGCCGAGGCCAGTGAAGCACAGCCTTCTTCTGTGATCATACAGCCTGACAGACTGCAGACACACAAAACAACACACAGGAACCCTCTGTCAACACTTGGTCATATGTTTTTAATGGTGTAAGCTTTTGACTGAGAAACTGCTGCTTTTAAACTGGTTTTACAAATATTTTTTCAGGGATTCCTGTGGGTCACGGGATTCTTGTGGGACAGGACGGGACAGGAGTGTCTTTGTGGGAGTAGGATGGGACATGAGTGAAAATCCACTCCTGTGTCACCCTCTAGTGTCAGAGAACATCTGAAGTCTATCAGACCGCCTTGCTCATTAAAAAATGATACAAAGGTGTACCAATTGCATTAAAAAGTGATACCAAGAGGTCCTGACCACTGAGTTGGAAGTTACACTGCCCTGTAAATAAATGATAGTCAAATTGTTGCTTTCAGTCAGTACAAAAGTGATCCCCCTGCCCTCTGTTATGTTATACAACAGTATGAAATTAAAGTGATCAGTATCAGTATGAATATCACATAAATAGACAGAGACAACACAATAAGGAATGAAAACCACATACTAAGCACAGGTGAACTGTTTATCCATTACTGTAAATCAAAGTGTAAATAGTCATCAGTTGCACACATCAGTAAATCCTGACCTGAGCGTTTCCATCGTACAGTGTGGACTCTCCAGTCCAGAAGACAGCAGCTTCACTCCTGGGTCCTGCAGGTTGTTGTTACTTAGGTCCAACTCTCTCAGACTAGAGGACTGGGAGCTGAGAACTGAGGACAGAGCTTCACAGCTTCTCTCTGAGAGGTTACAGCCACTCAGTCTGAGGAGGAAATACTGAACATAACTACTAGGGATGTAACGATGCATCGCAAGACAGTTAAAAATTGATACAAATCGGCTGAGATGAAAAATGAATCATGATGCCCTTTTTAAACAGCAGAGGGCGGTGCCAACTTGCCACCGCCGCCATGTCTCTCGTTTCATCTGAACCAATACCTGACAGTGATGTACGACGTCTAACACCTAGTGACGTATGACGTCCAACACGTGAAATCAAAATTAGATTACGCCCTCTGCTGTTTAAAAAGGGCATCGCGATTCATTTTTCATCTCAGCCAATTTGTATCGATTTTTAACTGTCTCGCCATGCATTATTACATCCCTAATAACTACATATGCCATTTATGTTAAACAGTCATTACCCTTAATGTTAAGTCTGGATTTATAGAAAGACAGAACGAGCAAAGATCTTAACAACTCGTTCTACTAGGGCAACTAGCTTTCACAACAGCTAACAGGAATTTAGTTAGTAAGTTAGAATTAAGAGATCTGTATTTTAATTCAGGGCCAAATATAAGAACACTTTAAATTCCTTCAGTTGTTCAATTTCCTAAATAATTCAGAAAAACTGTAAAGTGATCTGACCTGAGAGTTTCCAGTGTACAATGTGGACTTTTCAGTCCAGCAGACAGTAGCCTCACTCCTAAATCCCGCAAGTCATTGTTACTCAGGTCCAGCTCTCTCAGACTAGAGGACTTTGAGCTGAGAACTGAGGACAGAGCTTCACAGCTTCTTTCTGAGAGGTTACACAAACTCAGTCTGAAGAGGCGATAAAAAAGGAAAAAGAAAAACAAATTAAACATTTTTTGTCTTCTGTTGAAAAGATACCAGTATCTCAATATAATGGTGAATATATCCAGAGAGAGAGACTCTGTAGATATATTCTCTGCTCTGACCTCATGACTGGATACTCTGTGTCCTCTATCCACCAAACCTGCCAGCTCTAACCTGCCCCACCCATGATTGACTGACACCATTTGAAAGATGCATACTTATCTCAGAGCTGCTGAGAAAAAATGGTGCATGATTAGTGACTCCGCTGACCTCAAGGGCTCTGAGGCACTCCTAGTCTTCTTCTCATCCAACACCAGTAATGCCAAAACTGCTTTTTACAATGAGATCAGCAGCACCACAAACACTCGTAAACTATTTTCTACCTTACTCAATCCTCCCCCCCCCCCACCAGACACAAACCTCTCAGCCGATATCTTTGCCTCCTTCTTCACTGAAAAGGTCGTGGCCATCAGCTGCCAATTCTCTGAACCTCAAAGAGACAACCAGTCTCCGCTGGTTATGGGGACACCCCTTCCCACATCGCTCTCATGCCTTCTCTGCCTCCTCCATCAGTACCTCACCATCTCCCTCACTCAGCCCTCTAGGTGAGTACAAGGCTCCAAAAGTAACACGTAATAGTCCTACCACCTGTCTATTCTGGTCTCCACAGGCCTTTTTTCTTGTTCACCCCTTTCACTGAGAACAATGTGTCAAAACTTGTGACACGTGTTCCTAGTACACATGTGCTGGAGCTTGGGGGTGGTTTGTGGAGATGGGGTCCAGCCCCCTCTCCACAAACCACCCCCAAGCTGCATCTCCCACCATCGTGCCAGCAGTCAAATGTGATAAATAATTCACTGGCTTCGGGAACATTCCAACTGCATTATAACTGGCTCAGGTAACTCCTCTGCTCAAAAAACCCTCACTTGACCTTGCTCAAGTGGAGAACTATTGGCCAGTCTTACCGCTTCCATTCTTTTCTAAGTGTATAGAGAACACTTTTAAGGTTTTGAAGCAGGTCTCAAAATTCCTATGACAGAGCAATCTTCTTGATCCAAATCAGTCAGGTTTTAAGAGTGGCCACTGATACAGCTCTGTTGTCTGTGACAGAAGCCCTAAGGGCAGCTAGAGCTGAAGGACAGTCCTCAGTTCATACCTTGCTGAACTTATCAGCAGCCTTTGATAGAGTGAACCACTACATCCTAATGTCTGTACTCTCCGACATGGGCATCTTGGACAAAGCCCTTTCTTGGTTTGAATCCTATCTCACTGCCTGAAGGACTGGTACTAGGAAACCTCCTCTTTACAATATACATCACCTCCTTGGGTCCAATGACACATCCGCATGGATATAGGAACGCCACCTTCAACTAAACCTCTCTAAGACTGAATTCTAGTCATCCCAGCCAATCAGTCTCTCCATCACGATATCAATATCAAAATTACCTCTTCATCCCTTACCCTAACCAAGGTCACAAGAAACCTGGTTGTCATGTTTGTTGACCAGCTATCCTTCTCTGACAATTTTGCTCTATACATCAGATAAATCAGGCCTTTACTTGACTTACGCCACCCAGCTCTTGGTCCAGGCCATGGCTATCTCTCGACTCGACAAATGCAATGCTCCTCTGGTAGGCCTCCATCTGTGCACAGTGAAACCCTTGCAGATGGTCCAGAATGCGCCTACCTGTCTGGTCTTCAATTAGCCCAAAAGGGCACATGTCACTCTGCTACTATTTGACCTCCACTGGCAACCCATGGCTGCCTGAAATAAAGTCACTAATGCTGCCTTCAGAGTGACTTCTGGGTCTGCTACATCTACATGAACTCAATCATTCAGCCTTATGCTCCTTCTCGACCACTGTGTTTCTCCAAAGACTGTTGTCTGGCACTGACTTCCTTGCACACAAGGAAATCTCACTCCAGACTTTTCTCGTCTGTGGTTCCCTAATGATGACCAAGCTACCGAATGCTATCAGAGCAGGGGCATCCCTCTCTATCTTCAAGAATCTCTTGAAGACTTGTGTCCTCCAAGAGCACTCTTCTCTCCTCTCCTAACAACCTTTAACAACCTAACATGTCTAACTAGCTCTTACTAAGCACTTTTGGTAAACTTCTTTAGTTTATCTCCTTGCACTTATTAATAGATGTGGTGCTTAGTACTTAAGTAAGTAAGTTGCTAAAAGTGACTGCCAAATGAGTAAATGTCTTACAGAGCCTTCTTGGAGACTTTCACCACTGGCAGCAGCCTCAGAAAAGCCTCCTCTGAAGCAGAGTACTGGGTCAAGTCAAACACGTCCAGATCTTTTTCTGATGACAGTAAGATGAAGACCAGAGCTGACCACTGAGCAGGAGACAGTTTATCTGGGGAGAGACTTCCTGATCTCAGGGACTGTTGGATCTCCTCCACTAGAGAACGATCATTCAGTTCATTGAGACAGTGGAACAGGTTGATACTTCTCTCTACAGACAAATCCCCATTGATCTTCTTCTTAATGTACCAGATTGTTTCTTGATTGGTGAGAGAGCTACTTCCTGTTTGTCTCACCAGGCCTTGCAGGAGACTCTGACACGTCTGCTGTGAAAGGCCCAGGAGGAAGCGAAGAAAGAGGTCCAAGTGTCCATCTGGACTCAGTAAGGCCTTGTCCACAGCACTCTGGTAGAAGTGTGTCTCTGCAGATTCAACTTTTTCTCTTTTGGACTTCTGGGACGTTGATTGTTCTTCCGACAGCAGATTAACTCCAGAGTTGATGAAGGTCAGATGAACATGAAGAGCAGCCAGAAACTCCTGAACACTCAGATGGACGAAGCAGAACACCTTGTCCTGGTACAGGCCTCTCTCCTCTATAAAGATCTGTGTGAACACTCCTGAGTACACTGAGGCTGCTCTGATATCGATGCCACACTCTGTCAGGTCTGATTCATAGAATATCAGGTTTCTTTTCTGCAGCTGCTCAAAAGCCAGTTTTCCCAGAGAAACAATCATCTTCCTGGTCTCTGGACTCCAGTGTTGATCTGTCTCAGCTCCTCCATCATACTTGACGTTCTTCAGTTTTAGTTGAACCACCAGGAAATGAATGTACATCTGAGTCAGGGTCTTGGGCAACTCTCCTCCCTCTCTGGTTTTCAACACCTCCTCCAGAACTGTAGCAGTGATCCAACAGAAGACTGGGATGTGGCACATGATGTGGAGGCTTCGTGATGTCTTGATGTGGGAGATGATCCTGCTGGCCTGATCCTCATCTCTGAACCGCTTCCTGAAGTACACCTCCTTCTGTGGGTCAGTGAACCCTCTGACCTCTGTCACCATGTCAACACACTCAGGAGGAATCTGATTGGCTGCTGCAGGTCGTGTGGTTATCCAGAGGCGAGCAGAGGGAAGCAGTTTCCCCCTGATGAGGTTTGTCAGCAGCACGTCCACTGAGGTGGACTGTGTAACATCAGTCAGGATCTCAGTGTTGTGGAAGTCCAGAGGAAGTCTACACTCATCCAGACCGTCAAAGATGAACACAACCTGGAACTGATCAAACCTGCAGATTCCTGCTTCTTTGGTTTCAGTAAAGAAGTGATGAACAAGTTCCACCAAGCTGAACTTTTTCTCTTTCAGCACATTCAGCTCTCTGAAGGTGAATGGAAATGTGAACTGTATGTCCTGGTTGGCTTTGTCTTCAGCCCAGTCCAGAGTGAACTTCTGTGTTAAGACTGTTTTCCCAATGCCAGCCACTCCCTTTGTCATCACTGTTCTGATTGGTTCATCTCTTCCAAGGGATGTTTTAAAGATGTCTTGACATCTAATGGTTGTTTCTGGTCTGACAGGTTTCCTGGATGCTGTTTCAATCTCTCTGACCTCATGTTCATCATTGACCTCTCCAGTCCCTCCCTCTGTGATGTAGAGCTCTGTGTAGATCTGATTCAGAAGGGTTGGGTTTCCTGCTTTAGCGATCCCCTCAAACACACATTGAAACTTCTCCTTCAGGTCACGTTTGAGTTTATGGTGACAAACTCCAGCAGATGTTCCTAAATAGAAAAACAAAGAATGTTAGTGTTAGTGATTCATGAAGAAAATATGACCTTTTGATTTCCTAAAGAATGCATGTCGCTCCCTCTGTGTTGAGACATTAGTGAATATCAAATTTCTCCACCATGCTAAATCTTTAGAGAAATCCTCTTACTGCTCTGCAGACAGTCAGCCAGCTCATCCTGCTTCATTCTCCTCAGGATGTTCACTGTAATCTTCAGGAATGCCTCTTCATCCTCACCATCCAGCACCTCCTCATCCTCCCTCTGACTCTCTGAGCATTCTGGGTAATCTGGACTCAGAAGCCTCTGGATATTCTTCAGCTTGTTCTTCACAAAAGTGACCATGTTCTCCTCCAGCAGCTGGAACAGAAAACTATATAAATGACACCATCAAACTAAAACCTGGATCCAAACATCAAATCCATGTTGGACAGACTGATAATCCACTGCTCTAAAAAATGCAACATGGAGATTATTGTGAACACAACAGATGGAACAGTAGTTGTACATGTACAGACCATAAATAAGGAGTCCAGCTGTGTTTGATGCTGCTGGGCAGACTGACCACTGGGAACCTCTGAGCTCTCCTGGTCCACTCTGTGGAGGAATCATGAAGAATGAGCTCACATTATGTCTGTCCACACAGAGACAGACACAAGCTAAAGGTCCATGAAGTCATGTTTGGATGTGAACAGTGAGTCAGACGACTCTGTGTAGTGGTAAAGGTTTACTAGTCCTGCTGATCCCACTGACAATCAACAGCTCAGTCTGCAGCTCTTTGTAGCTTTCAGCTCAGTGTTTCACCAACCCTCCATATAGCTCTCCCTCCCTCACTGAACACTGATGAAGTGCCCTGGAGCAAGGCACCTACAACCTGCTGCTCCAGTGGAGCTGCTCACTGTCTGCTTGAATCAGACTGGTTGTACTGGGCAGCTCAGTATGAACAATGACAATGAACCAGTAAAGTGTCACTGAGTAAATGACATTAAAACATTTTAAGGGATCAGTTTACTCCATCAGAGGTGTTTGTCAGATGGTTGAACAGCATCTGAAACACACACCTTCCTGCTGATTGGTCAGCTGTGTGCAGGTGACAAAGTAGGCAGGGTTTGAAACCTTCTCTCTCAGCTCTTATTTTCATCCTTCATCTTCTCACACAAACCTTTTTTCTGTCACTTTTCATGTGAACAACTGAGGTCAACTCTATGAATGTCTTCCAGGAGAGACTGTCTGAACATGGAAGAAGTTATCTCCATATTTGGAACCACATCATGTCTCCCCCCTCTCTATGACGGCCAGAGTTTTACCTCCACCTTCCAGTGTGGATGTTCACAACAGAGGGGAAACACTTGATTTTAGTCGTGGTTGAAGAACAAGAAGTGGTGCAAACAACTTCTTTTCTACAATAACTTGAGTCTTACTGTCATTACAGCTTACATCTGATCAGCTGATGGATGTCGTCCTTTAAAATCAATGAGCTTGCCCTTCGACCAATCACTCTTTAAAGACAGACAGCTGGGTTCAGGAGAGTCTGGTCTCTGCTGCTGGATCCTGAAACAAAAACAGAACTGATAAATGTGCATGTTGGATAAAATCTGATGAAAAATATGTTCAATCTTTGAATAAACACAATAACTTTTTTTTAACTCTGACCTTCCATCAACAGACTGTCTGAAATTCAGAGGAGGAGTAATAGATCGGTTGCTCTTTATGGACACACAGCTTGGCCCAGGTTCAGCCCCAGGTTCAGCCCCAGGTTCAGGTCCAGGTCCAGGTCCAGGTCCAGGTCCAGGTTCAGCTCCAGGCCCAGGTCCAGGTCCAGCAGAGTCTGGTCTGTGCTGCTGCACTGGACTTGAACACAACACACACAGAGCTTTGAGTGTGAATAATGATGAAGCAGTGATCTGAGGGCTGAGCTCTGACATGGAGAAGAGTCATGGACAGTTAGAGACCCTCATCTCACCTCTGAGCTCTGGTCTGGCTCTCATGTTCCCCACACACAGTGGTTTTAGAGGGAGGGGCTCCCTTCTCTCTGTCCTCACACTGATCCATGCTGCTGAGTTCACATCCACATCAGCTCACAAACACTTCCTACTTTCATGTGGAGAGAAAAACACATCATTCATCGGCACATCAGCTGAAATTTACATCCTTTCAGACTCAAGTTCACATGCTGAAATGTTACAAACACATTAAACCTCCTCATTACTCTGAATGTGAAACAGAAATGAAAATTTGTTTGAATCAGTCATTTTACTGACACTGAAAATGAAAAGATTCTAGAGCTGCGACTGACAGGTATTTTCTCCTTTATCAGATTCATCATTTGGCCGATAAAATGTAAGAAAATAGAGTCAAGATTCTAACATTCTGAGGTGACGTCTTCAAAAGTTTTGTTTTGTCAAACCAACAACCAAAGACCCAAAATATTAAGTTTACAATTAAATGAAACTTTTTTTTTATTAGATTTCTGCTTGAAACATGATTTTCTGAATGATTATCAAAATATCTAGTTTCCTGTGAAGGACTCTAATTACCGACATTAATTATCAAACAGAAACAGTGGTGCAGCTGGTCCTCTTCTAATTCATCAATTCAAATGAATCACCGCGAAATATCGACTACGTGTTCAACGACCATCAACTAACTGCTTCTACTCTTCTATCACTTCTGCTGTTCACCACGATACAACATGGCGGAGTCTAAATATTGGAAGTCCGCCCAGACTTTACAGTTATAGCTCTGAGTTACGATAACAGCACAATAACTCCTACTACAGTTTCTACAGTAACTAAGAATAAAAGTAAAAAGATTAACAACTGCTCACATTAACTTCGGGGGACAAAATGATCTGCAGTCAGTGTTCGTCCAAAGTGAAACTTAACTTCAACAAGGAAACGGTCAGAGAAGCCTGTGAGTGAGGGGAAGTGGAAGGAGTCGAGGCGGATGATGAAGGGTTGATTATAGACCCGCAAAAGCCTCTTTGTAAACGGCTCCTTTGCACTTTCCAAACCACAGTTGAAATGCTGTGCGATAAAAAGTTTACTGCTTATATTTTAGCAAGGTATTGTTTACTTTAAATACTTGAAGTCTACATGCCACTGTTCTTTTTTGCTCTGTCAATAGTTGTTTCATTTTATTATATCTATTATTTCCACATTTCTTTGTCTCAGGGCACTATAGCTGAAAAGCTGTGCAATAAAAAGTTGATTGTTTATATTTTAGCACAGTATTGTTTATTTTATATTCTTGAAGGTTGCATGCCACTGTTCTTGGTTTTTTATTTTCTATTCATATTTTTCAATAAAGGAGTGAAAGAGAAAATACATGGAATTTATTGGTATTGGTGGTATCGAAATTGGTCTCGAGAATTGTGGAATTTCACTGGTATTGGTATCAACTACTAAATTTCTGGTATCGTGACATCCCTAGTCACATCTTAAAAAAGTCAAAGTGAACAACATTTTTATTGTGTAATAATCGTAGCTTCCATCTTTAAAAGACTAGAAGTGGAAGAAGTTTACAAGGAATCATTTAGAAGAGTTTAAAAAATAAACGGATTTAATAAAAATCTGAAAACGTGTAAGTGAAAGAGACAGACATGTACAGACTGAACTATCTGTTCAACAGTGAGAAAGTTTCTCTTTGCTACACTCAACACAGAGACACTGAGGTACCAGAGCAGACTCTTAACCCAAGACATAGAGGTTCAGTGAATGTGGTGTTGAAGGTGTAAATGTGGATCAGTGAGTCAGAGGAGACTCTGTAGAAAGACAGAGTGCCAGCAGGACAGTCCACATATACTCCTACTTTCTTAGAGACTGAGGAGGAGGAGGAGGAGGGTAGAAATACAGATGTTTTCATTTTATTATGACAAACAAAGTAACCACCATCAGAGCAGATCAGGGGTTATACATTGTTATAGACTCATGTTGGAAAAATCCAATATTTTGATAAATGTAGCATCCCAAAAGTCCTTTCTATGGTTGTCAGGTAGGTCTTTGTGCTAAGCTTGGCAAAACATCTCCCCAAGCTCTCTCTTTTCAGAGCTGATCCCAGGTATGACTTCTCAAAACAGTTACTTTTCAATGCACTTTCAAAACCACATATGAACAACAAGCAATTATCACTTTTCTTCCTGTAGATATTCTCATTGGAAACCATCAACATAAATGTCTCCTTTTTATGTTCAACCAATATTTATGTTGTTAGCGAAGACAAAAGGCTTCCTACATATGTTATTGTTCATATTTACATCACATTTACTCATTTGGCAGATGCTTTTATCCAAAGACCACAACAGTCTGGACTGGGATTCTCTTGTGTGCAGGGATATAATGCAAGATCCCATTCCTTGGAGGAACACAGTGGCTGAGAAGAAGCAAAAGGCTGAATGATTGAGTTCAAGTCGACGGAGCAGACCCAGAAGTCACTTTGAAGGCTGTATTAGTTGTCATGGGTAGCCAGTGTAGGTCAATGAGTAGCGGAGTGACATCTAACCTTTTAGGCTGACCGAAGACCAGAGCGGTTGTACAGGTACAGACCATAAATATGGAGTCCAGGTGTGTTTGATGCTGCTGGGCAGACTGACCACTGGGAACCTCTGAGCTCTCCTGGTCCACGCTGTGGAGGAATCATGAACGATGAGCTCACATTATGTCTGTCCACACAGAGACAGACACAAGCTAAAGGTCCATGAAGTCATGTTTGGATGTGAACAGTGAGTCAGACGACTCCATGTAGTGGTAAAGGGTTACTAGTCCTGCTGATCCTACTGATCCTACAAATCAATAGCTCAGTCTGCAGCTCTTTGTAGCTTTCAGCTCAGTGTTTGGTTTAGTTCCAACAGCTGTTACCAACCCTCCATATAGCTCTCACTGCTGAAGTGCCCTGATGCAAGGCACCTACAACCTCCAGGTACTCCAATGGAGCTCCTCAGTGTCTGCTTATATCAGACTGATTGTACTGGGCAACCCAGTATGAACAATGACAATAAACCAGTCAAGTTTCACTGAGTAGAATTGTTCAAGAAGAAAAGAGTGAATTATGTCGCTCACATTGCCTTTAAATGGAGAAATGAAGCTGTGCCACAAGGATCATAGGAACTGAAACTACTTTAAACAGCAAATAGGGAGGTTGGTAAGACGGCATGTGTCTGTCTCCAGTCACTTCCTTTGGGGGACAAAAAAAAGTTCCATAACCATTTAAATGTTAGGATTAATATTTGTCTCCAAAATACATCAAAAAATGAAAATTGAGGTCAGACATAAAAGAAAGGAAAGCTCCTCCAGCTGTCAGCGCATTCGTTTATTTGCAATATGAGTACTCCAGTCGAAGTTATCCGTTGAAACCAATATTTATTTGCTATTAAAGAATCAAAATCAGCATGTACATGGATCTCCTCCGATCTGAAAACCACAGTCTGCAAGCAGTTAGCTGTGGCCAACATCCCAGAGAAGAGTGTCTATCTTAGCAGTTACACAGAGTTTTGTGTATATTTTTGTAACTATCTGATTGGTGAACAAGCTGGGGAGAGGCCGTGGTTTAGACTCAGCTCTCCCTGACTGCACCTGGAGAAAAATCTACTCTCCCTTTTCATGTAACCGCCACTTCGCCATGCTAGGAGTTGTTGTTTGCTTTAAGCAACTAAGGCGGTCACATGACATCCTGTTCTTCTGGTGTCTCCCTATGTGTGCGTGACTGCCTTGAGTTTCACCCTAGCGCCCCCTAACGCATAGCAACATTAATCATCATAATATAAAAACAACAGTCTCTTAGCAATGTAACATAACGTTTTAACATTTCTTACACAGCTCCTCCAGCTCCTTAAATGTGATGATTTGGTGCTTTTACTGTCTTAAATGGCAGTAAAGTGAATCATTCTGAGGTGTGGACTGTTGGTCAAACATCAGTCCAAACTGGTCTTTTAATAACATTTTACTCCTCATGTTTTTATTTTGTAAAATAGTTTGTAAAGCTTCTCATATTATAGTGAGACATAACACTGACTCAGTTTGTCTTTAAAGAAAGTTGGTGCACCTAGTGGTGGGAAGTTAAAACTGCAACAATTAGTCAATTAATTGATTAGTCAACTAAAATAAATACCAAATGTACTGCTTCAAGCTGCTAGACGTCACCTTGAGTTGAGGGAAACAGGAGGTGGGATTTTAATTAATGGAGAAAATAACTGATTGCCAGATTGGTCGGTTTCAGGCTGAGTTTGTTCGTCGATAAAAAGTCAGAGAAGGTTGAAGAACATCAGTCCCAGTTTCCTAGAGTTTAATGTGAAGCCTTTAAACATCTTGTTTTGTGCAAAACCCTAAGAGAAAATTAAAAATGAATTATATCTGGTGTTGTATTTTCTGGTGCACTGTCCACTCTGAACTAAAATCAAACTTTCTCTATAGCTTCCAAGTGAAAACTTAAAAAATGAACTGCAGTTTAAAATGCCGGTTGTTCCATGTCATTTATCTTGCTACAGATCATCATAATTAATTCATACTGTTTACTATACAATTCTTGTACAGTGTGACACAGGCCATATGTGATGGTGCCTCCAGATGGTTTTTGTGGCCCAGTCCAAGCCAAAAGTCCTGCAATGATTTTTGTTCACACTCCTTCCTGGTGTATGACATTGGCCTTGATGGAGCTCTGGGTTCTACTTAACACATTTTCTAGTTTTTTACTTTTCAACAGTGAAAATGTTTCTCTAACAGGAGGACACTCTCTCTGCTACACTGAACACAGAAACAATGAGGAATCAGGCCAGAACCTAAATCCAGGATACAGAGGTTCAGTGAATGTAGTGTTGAAGGTGTGGAGGTGGATCAGTGAGTCAGAGGAGACTCTGTAGAAGGACAGAGTGCCAGCAGGACAGTCCACGTACACTGCTACTCTCTTAGAGACTGAGGAGGAGGGGACAGATGTTTCTCTCCTATTGTGACAGACATTGTAACCACCATCAGAGCAGATCAGACTCCAGGACTGATCATTCCATCCAAACACACAGTCATCTCTGTCTCCTTTCCTGCTGATTCCTCTGTAACTCACTGATATATAAACCTCTCCTCTCCATTCGACCTCCCAGTAACAGCGACCAGTCAGACCAGTTCCACACAGAATCTGAGGCCGGTCAAATCTGTCTGGATGATCAGGATATGACTGATCCTCCTCCACACGTGTCACCTTTCTGTTGTTGTCCGACAGTTTGAGGTATTTGTTCACTGTGTTTGTGTCAAGTGTGAGTTCACAGGAATCTGATGGAGAGAACAAGACACAGCTGCAGTTATTGATCTATCATCTGATCATTTATTTACAGTTTTATGATGACTCATGACATCAGTGATGTGACAGTGCAAAGATGGTTGAATGTGCTGCTTTGTTTTCATGAATAAATTTAAAAACACACTTACACTTCCTCAGACCTGGTCTCAACCATCGGACTCCACCAGGCTCAACCCTGAAAGGAGGAGGGGGGTCAGACCAGCACATCTTTTTCAGCATACTAGCATGAACATTACATGGCTCTCATACACAGATGGTTTTATATTCCTGTTCAAATGTAGGCTTGTATGTATAGATGTAGATCCAACAAAGAGAACAATAAACTGGAGTCTTTATCTAGTAATTATACAGAGTAGGGAGGTGAGGTGGAGAAAATGTTTCATCATCGGTGTTCTCCATTTGATGTCAGTTTTGGTGTGAGATACACTTTCTTCCTCTTTGGCTGCAGAAACAAATCTAATAGCAAATAAGTTGTAGGGCCATAAACTTACAGAAAGACAGGAGTTGACTTTACGCTTTATTTAACAGAGATTGCCACCACAGTGCTGATACAGCATGAAATAAAGTCTGATAGAAAAAAACATTTACAGAGGCAATAAAGCTTAAGTTCCTGCTCAGGTCACAGAATACAGCTGACAACACCTGATTTCATGACCATGAGATCTCTCTTCCTAAATATGACGCAGTGAGTCATAATGAGACACTGAAGTCATTATTAAGTGAAAATTGCTCTTTTGTTGTTGAATGCAAAGCACTTCTATAAAGATCTGCCATCAGCTGTGACAGAGAAAAACGTTTACAGCTCATAATCCTAGAAAGTACTGCTAGTTTGAGTAGTTTGGTAAAATGTACTTTACACAATCCTACATGGGTTTGCTGTTTATCCACTAATCTAAAATTGAACAGGTATCATTAAGTCTATGGAACTGTTAATTAGTTAAAAAGGTTAATGATCCTGACCTCAGAGTTTCCAGTGTGCCTGCAATTATCTTAATCACAGTGTATCAAAACATGGAGTTTTTGTGTATTAATAAGTTCATTTTTTGTTGAACTTCTGATATCATAGAAAAAGAACTTGATCTGACCTGAGACTTTCCAGTGTGCAGTGTGGACTCTCCAGTCCAGTAGACAGCACCTTCACTCCTGTGTCCTGCAGGTCATTGTTACTCAGGTCCAGTTCTCTCAGACGAGAGAACTGGGAGCTGAGAACTGAGGACAGAGTTTCACAGCTTGTCTCTGAGATATTACAGCCACTCAGTCTAGAGAGGAAATAATGAACAAGAAGACAAATACGTTTTATGTTAAATTGTAATCACTGGTGATACTGGACCACAGACCATTCCAGGAATACAAAGGTCCCAGTTTGCGATACAGTTCACACAGAAATAACAGACCTGTATTTTAACCCTTGGAAAAAAGTAAAAAAGACTTAGTCCATTGGGCAAAATCACCTCTATATCTAAATGGTAACCAGTGAGGAGTTACTAGCTTTGGTGATATGTATTCTTGTCTTAAGCCTGGCTGAAATACTTACTGTTGAACTTCTGATATCATAGAAAAAGAACTTGAACTAACCTGAGACTTTCTAGTGTGCAGTGTGGACTCTCCAGTCCAGTAGACAGCACCTTCACTCCTGTGTCCCGCAGGTTGTTGTTACTCAGGTCCAGCTCTCTCAGACTAGAGGACTGGGAATTGAGAACTGAAACCAGAGCTCCACAGCTTCTCTCTGAGAGGTTACAGCCACTCAGTCTGAAGAGATGATAATAAGGAATGAAACAAGAAAGAAGTGTATTTTATCTACTGTTGAAAAGATAGACATGTTTTTATATAATGATGACTAAATCCAAATATCTATAGACTTACAGAGCTTTTTTGGAGGCTTTGACCACTGGCAACAGCCTAAAAAGAGCCTCCTCTGAAGCAGAGTATTTCTTTAGGTCAAACACGTCCAGATCTTTTTCTGAGGACAGTAAGATGAAGACCAGAGCTGACCATTGACCAGGAGACAATTTATTTGTGGAGAGACTCCCTGATGTCAGGGACTGTTGGATCTCCTCCAATAGAGAACGATCATTCAGTTCATTCAGACAGTGAAACAAGTTGATGCTTTTCTCTACAGAGGGAGTTTCTTCAATCTTCTTCTTGATGTACTGGACTACTTTCTGATTGGTCTCTGAGTCACTTCCCCTCTCCATCAGCAGACCTCGTAGGAGAGTCTGATTGGTCTGCAGTGAAAGACCCAGGAGGAAGCGAAGGAACAAGTCCAGGTGTCCATTTGGACTCTGTAACGCCTCGTCCACAGCTCTCTGGTAGAAGTGAGTTGATTCAGTTTTGTCTCTAAACAGTTTAGACCACAGAGAGGTCAATTTCTTTTCTGACAGCAGATCGACTCCAAAGTTGAAGAAGGTCAGATGGACATGAAGAGCAGCCAGAAACTCCTGAACACTCAGATGGACGAAGCAGAACACCTTGTCCTGGTACAGGCCTCTCTCCTCTTGAAAGATTTGTGTGAACACTCCTGAGTACACTGAGGCTGCTCTGATATCGATGCCACACTCTGTCAGGTCTGATTCATAGAAGATCAGGTTTCTTTTCTGCAGCTGCTCAAAAGCCAATTTTCCCAGAGACTCAACCATCTTCCTGGTCTCTGGACTCCAGTGTGGATCTGTCTCAGGTCGTCCATCATACTTGATGTTCTTCAGTTTGGACTGAACCACCAGGAAGTGGATGTACAGCTCAGTCAGGGTCTTGGGCAGCTCTCTTCCCTCTCTGGTTTTCAACACCTCCTCCAGAACTGTAGCAGTGATCCAGCAGAAGACTGGGATGTGGCACATGATGTGGAGGCTTCGTGATGTCTTGATGTGGGAGATGATGCTGCTGGCCTGCTCCTCATCTTTGAACCTCTTCCTGAAGTACACCTCCTTCTGTGGGTCATTGAACCCTCTGACCTCTGTCCCCATGTCAACACACTCAGGAGGGATCTGATTGGCTGCTGCAGGTCGTGTGGTTATCCAGAGGCGAGCAGAGGGAAGCAGTTTCCCCCTGATGAGGTTTGTCAGCAGCACGTCCACTGAGGTGGACTCTGTAACATCAGTCAGGATCTCAGTGTTGTGGAAGTCCAGAGGAAGTCTACACTCATCCAGACCGTCAAAGATGAACACAACCTGGAACTGATCAAACCTGCAGATTCCTGCTTCTTTGGTTTCAGTAAAGAAGTGATGAACAAGTTCCACCAAGCTGAACTTTTTCTTTTTCAGCACATTCAGCTCTCTGAAGGTGAATGGAAATGTGAACTGTATGTCTTGGTTGGCTTTGCCTTCAGCCCAGTCCAGAGTGAACTTCTGTGTTAAGACTGTTTTCCCAATGCCAGCCACTCCCTTTGTCATCACTGTTCTGACTGATTCATCTCTTCCAGGTGAGGCTTTAAAGATGTCTTCTTGTCTGATGGTTGTTTCTGGTCTGACTGGTTTCCTGGATGCTGTTTCAATCTGTCTGACCTCATGTTCATCATTGACCTCTCCAGTCCCTCCCTCTGTGATGTAGAGCTCTGTGTAGATCTGGTTCAGAAGGGTTGGGTTTCCTGCTTTAGCGATCCCCTCAAACACACGCTGGAACTTCTTCTTCAGAGTAGATTTGAGATTACCTTGATGAACTGCAATATGTCCTGAATGAACACACAAGAAATAAGATGTATAACTCGTTTATACTGAAAATATGATATTTTAACTCTCCTAAAGAATGCGTATGTGCAGGTGCATTAACAAGAACTGCACTAACACAGAAACAGGATTCTGTAGGGACTCACTACATTCTAGATAGTGGAAACCACGTGTTCTTTTGTTCCACCACAGACAACAGAATTCACTTCCCCACAATTCCTTACTGTTCACACCAGGGGATGACCCTCACCCAGGGACCTTACGGACCAGTGAGTGTTGATTAGTGTCTGAGATATGACCCCCAGGGTGTCACCAAACAAAACCACATCCCCTTCTTTGTTCTCTCTCTCTCTTCTCTTCTCTCCTTGGCTTGCTCAGGAGCAGCAGCTCCTCTCCTCTTGGGACCTCTTCGTGGAGCAACAAGGCTCCCAGCCCAGGTCAGCCCTGCTACCTGAGACAACAGCTCATTGCTCTCAGCTGCTCAGCTCTCCTGCCCACTCCAGGCTGCAACACTTCTTCAACAGCAGAGTTAGCAAGCAACAGCTAACTCTGCTGTTGAAGTTAGTTAGTTCTCTGTGAGAAGAACAAAGAAGAAACCAGTGGCCTCTTCTGCAACACAGAAGCCACATGGCCAGACCGGACTTCACTCCATCAGGAAGAAACACAAACCCACTGGACTTTACATAACACTGGAAAGGACCTCTTCCTTTTGTTACAAGGACTGGGTAACATTAACTGACTGGGCTTAACCTCACCCAGCACAGCACAGCACACCACAGCTAAACAATAGAACTCTTTACCTTTGTTAATGTACATGTACATGTTGCTTACTGTATTCACTTAGCTCGTTGTTACAATGTTTACAAGGTTGTGGTTAGTCACACAGTTAATTTGATACTTGTATGTTAACACACATACCTGTAGCATATCTCAGTTCTAGGGGCTAGCCTTCTCCTTCTAATCTGGCTCCTTTAGACTCCATGAACTAGGCTAACAAAGAAATTCACACCTTCCCTCCCTCATGTACCATGTGGTCTCATTGGCTGTTTTGAGTATTTTCTTTGTTAACTGCCATCCTGTGGTAGTCTTCCCTTTCAAGGTCATGAGGTCACAGCGACCATTTTAAATTGTCCATTTTGCCTTTGTCTGTTTGTCTACTTACTTCTCTAGCAGCTGTACTCCTTAGGGATTCTGCATTGAATACCATCATCCCGGCTCTGCTGCAGGGTTAGCTGAGCATACCTGACTCCACCTGCAGGTTGATCACTGACTTCCTGTCTGACAGGAGGCAGCAAGTGAAGTCCCATGACTGTTTCCTTGCCCCTCTGCTCTTCTCCCTGTACACCAACAGCTGCACCTTCAGTTATCAGTCTCAAGCTCCTGACGTTTGTGGATAACACCACCCTCATTGAACTCATCTCTGGTGGGGATTAGTCTGCCCAAAGTTAGGAGTTTGACCTGGTGACCTGGTGTAGGCAGAACAATTTGGAGCTCAACACTCTAAAGACCGTTGAGATGATTGTAGACTTGAGGAAAAACCCAGTCCCACCCACCACCATCACCCTGTGTGACTCCCTGTACTTTGAAGTACTTCCACTTTCCTGGGCAACCATCTTCACACAGGACCTCAAGTAGTCATCAAGAAGGCTCAGCAGAGAATTCCTGAATGGTGGTGAACTTCTACACCACATCATGAGTCCATCCTCACCTCCTCCATCAAAACGCTGCTGCCACTGCCAAGGACAAGAGGATACTGCAGCGCTCTCCTGAGAAGGTGATTGGCTGGAATCTGCCATTCCTCCAGCACCTGTACACCACCAGGACCCTTAGGCGAGCAGGAAAGATTGTGGCCGACTGTTCCCACCCCAGACACAAACTTTTCAAATCAGGACCAAATCTTCACGCCATAAAAACAGCTTTTTCCTGACTACAGGTGGCCTCAATAATGAAGCCAGAGACCCTAAAGTCACTGACTTTTGTCGTGTTGTGGAGACTGGAATGAGCCTGAAGGCGGAGGGTTTTGTTGCTGATATTCCACCCTTAGAACCCCACATTTTCACATTGCTGCTGCTGCACACCACCTGCAGATATGAACATTATTCCCTCCATATGTTGAGATATTAGTAAAAGTCTCATTTCTCCATCATGTTAAATCTTTAGAGAAATCCTCTTACTGCTCTGCAGACAGTCAGCCAGCTCCTCCTGCTTCATTCTCTTCAGGAAGTTCACTGTGATCTTCAGAAATGCCTCTCTGCTGCTCTTCCTCTGCTCTTCACCCTCACCATCCAGCACCTCCTCATCCGCCCTCTGATTCTCTGAGCATTCTGGGTAATCTGGACTCAGAAGCCTCTGGATATTCTTCAGCTCGTTCTTCACAAAAGTGACCATGTTCTCCTCCAGCAGCTGGAACAGAAAACTATATAAATGACACCATGAAACTAAAACCATGGACCCAAACATCAAGATCTATGTTGGACAGACTGACAATCCACAGCTCTAAAAAGTGCAGCATGGAGATTATTTTGAAAAAGAACGATGTATAACAGTAGTTGTACATGTACAGACCATAAATATGGAGTTCAGGTGTGCTTGATGCTGCTGGGCAGACTGACCACTGGGAACCTCTGAGCTCTCCTGGTCCACTCTGTGGAGGAATCATGAACAATGAGCTCACATTATGTCTGTCCACACAGAGACAGACACAAGCTAAAGGTCCATGAAGTCATGTTTGGATGTGAACAGTGAATCAGACGACTCCCTGTAGTGGTAAAGGGTTACTAGTCCTGCTGATCCCACTGAGAATCAACAGCTCAGTCTGCAGCTCTTTGTTGCTTTCAGCTCAGTGTTTCACGAACCCTCCATATAGCTCTCCCTCCCTCACTGAATACTGCTGAAGTGCCCTGGAGCAAGGCACCTACAACTGCTGCTGCTCCAGTGGAGATGCTCACTGTCTGCTTGAATCAGACTGGTTGTACTGGGCAGCTCAGTATGAACCTTCCTGCTTATTGGTCAGCTGTGTGCAGGTGACAAAGTAGGCAGGGTTTGAGACCTTCTCTCTCAGCTCTTATTTTCATTCTTCATCTTCTCATTCACACAAACCTTTTTTCTGTCACTTTTCATGTGAACAACTGAGGTCAACTCTATGAATGTCTTCCAGGAGAGACTGTCTGAACATGGAAGAAGTTATCTCCATATTTGGAACCACATCATGTCTCCCCCCTCTCTATGACGGCCAGAGTTTTACCTCCACCTTCCAGTGTGGATGTTCACAACAGAGGGGAAACACTTGATTTTAGTCGTGGTTGAAGAACAAGAAGTGGTGCAAACAAGTTCTTTTCTACAATAACCTGAGTCTTACTGTCATTACAGCTTACATCTGATCAGCTGATGGATGTTGTCCTTTAAAATCAATGAGCTTGCTCTTCGACCAATCACTCTTTAAAGACAGACAGCTTGGTTCAGGAGAGTCTGGTCTCTGCTGCTGGATCCTGAAACAAAAACAGAACTGATAAATGTGCATGTTGGATAAAATCTGATGAAAAAATGTTCAATCTTTGAATAAACACAATAACTTTTTTGTTGCCCTGGAGCAAGGCACCTACAATCTGCTGCTCCAGTGGAGCTGCTCAGCATCTGCTTGAATCAGACTGGTTGTACTGGGAAGCTAAGCCCAGTATGAACACTGACAATGAGCCATAAAGTTTCACTGAGACAGTTCAAACATTTTAAGGGATCAGTTTATTCCATCAGAGGTGTTTGTGGTCAGATGTGGTCAAGGAACAAGAGGTCGTACAAACGTGTTCTTTTCTTATCTTTCAGTTTTAAAATACAGTTAAATTAAACATGTCCACAAGTTACAACACATTACACGAACAACAAATATCCCACACATCCAAAGCCATCTTCATGAGACATTATCATGAATAATATAGTCAGCAGAGAGACTCTGATTCTCATTCAGTGGGACTGAAAATCCCTGTGTGTTGGGGACAAACTCCTCTCTCCTCACATGTTTACCTTGCATTTTTCTTCACGTCTTCAGTGTGAGGGACGAAGACACAAGGAAAAGATGCAAGTGAGGGAAATGTGGATTTAAGGGAATTGAGATGTACCACGTTTTATATTTGTGCAGTCTTCAAAAACAGTGTGTGGAGAGAAAACAAACATTTAATATAACTTCTCTGTATAAACAGCTATTTAAACATGAATCAATATTATAATGTAGTAACATCTTACATCTTTCCAGCAGAGGGTTGTCCTCCTTTAAAATCAATGTAGCGTTCATTTGACCTGTCACTCTTGAAGGACACACAGCTGGGTCCAGGTCCAGCAGAGTCTGGTGTGTACTGCTGCTCTGGGCTTGAACACAACACACACAGAGCTTTGAGTGTGAATAATGATGGAGCAGTGATCTGAGTTATACACAGTTAGAGATCCTCATCTCACCTCTGAGCTCTGGTCTGGCTCTCATGTTCCCCACACACAGTGGTTTTAGAGGGAGGGGCTCCCTTCTCTCTGTCCTCACACTGATCCATGCTGCTGAGTTCACATCCACATCAGCTCATACACACTTTCGACCTCCACCTGGAGAGAAACACACATTATTCATCTGCACATAAAAATATCAGCTGCTCCTCCACCGAATGACTCCTCTTTGTTTGATATATAGGAAACTGACATCAGCTACTGTCCTTCTACTATCAGTCCACTAGATGGAGCACAACAACTCTCCCATACCAAACACACTAACCATGTGAAATACAAATGAAGTGAGCAGTCAGCCATCTTTACCCGTCTATGGTTTCCAAGCTGATATTTGCTTTTGAGACGACGACTGTTTAAAACCTCTTCTCAATTTAAAGAAACTCCCTACATCTATAAAACATTCACAATAAAGTAGTTTCTCCAGCGAAAATAACTAGTGAGGTCACTGTCAACATTTTCCACAAACTACAGAATTCCATGTCCCTTGGGGACTGTATTACACTTGGTTTATGCTATCTGACTGGTTGGACTGAGTCAGTCAGACTCAAGTTCACATGCTGAAATGCTATAAAGAAATTAAACCTCAGAAAATAGGGACAAATGATCCATTCAAGTGTCTCAGAGTCCGAGGTGATGTCTTCAAAAGTTTTGTTTTGTCAGACCAACAACCAAAGACCCATAATATTAACTTTACAATCAAATTACACTTGTTTGTTTTTTTTTTAAATTTTTGGTTGAAAAATAATTTTCTGAATGACTATCAAAATATCTAGATTTTTTTTTTTGTTGATAGAACAACTGTTGTAGCTCTAAAATATTATAATATTAACAATATCTATTATTTTATATAATATTTATTAATAATTATTGAGCGTTAATGGGTGTGTAAATTCCTAATAACTGCAGTTTCCTGTAAATGACTTTAATTACGCACATTAATTATCAGAGAAACAAAGACGTAGAAGAAAACAAAGAGGTGTCCAGCTGGTCCTCTTCACTCAAATGATTCACAGCGGCTGTTCGGCCGAGCTCAGGCCGCCTTGAGCTCAGACAGCGGGAGAGCTGCGGCTCATCTCCGCCTCCTCCACAGCCTGACTCGGGCAAGAAAAGCTGCCTTCACTCATCAGTTAGTTGAGCAACACAGAAATAACGACTCTGTGTTCAACTACTGACCATCAACTAATTGCTTCTAATCTCATTTCACCGCGTCGACTGTAAACATCGATACAACATGGCAGACTTTAAATATTAAAAGTCCACCCAGACTACAGCGCTGAGTTACAATAACAGCACAACTTCTACTGCAGTTTCTACAGTAACTCAGGTAACGACAGGTGTTAGCGAGTAAAAGATTAAAAACTGCTCACTTTACCTTAAGAGGAGAAAATGTTCTGCGTCATAGTAAAACTTAACTTCAACAAGGAAACGCCCAGAGAAGTCTGTGAGTGAGGGGAAGTGGAAGAGGGAGAAAAAAAAAACGATGTAAGTTAAAGATCAGTAAATGTATCACTGAACAAGAAGTTTAAAAACATGTTAAGTTGTAGTTTGACTTCGTTTAGAGACACAAACGTTTTGAAACAACCAAACTCCTGGAGTCTGTCTCAGAAGCAGGTTTAGTGAAAAGTCAGTGTTTGTTGGAGAGTTTGTGGAAACCAGATCATAAAGACAAAGTGATGTTTATCACTCTCACTATTTGTTCCAGCTGCAACATCAGTTATTATTGATTAGCTGAACTCTAAAGGAACTAATATCTACATTAACTGTAAAGGACTGTGACTCTTCAGCGATGATGACGTGGCTCCCTCTGGTGGTGAAAAGACAAACTGCATGATATCAGTTGGATGAAGACAGATGACATCAAGTGGTAGTGATGCTGTTCATTGTAAACTGACTCTGAGTCACTACAACATCTTACACTGATGTATCCTATAGGATTCACATTTATTATTAGGATCAATGTGTAGCGTACTTATTATTTATGATATAATATCGAGAGTTAATGCACTGTAAAAAAAAAAAAAAATGATAGCAAATAATTAAACTACAGGCTGCACTGTAAAATGAAAACCAATGGATACATTGTTAAAAAATGTGAACTAGGGTATACACTGTAAAAATAGACATGAAAAAAACTACAAATTTAAAACAAGATACACTGTAAAGAAATAAAAAAGTATAATCCTTTGATGGAAGCTCAGAGGGTGATATGTGTGGGATCATGTTGGTTCAAACTCTGTGGTTCTTACAGACTGTATATAAAAATGGACGTTGACTCTGGAAAATGAAGCCAATGTGGAAGTTCCTTAAACCTGCATTCTATGGAATGACCATCAGGGGGCGACTCCACTGGCTGCAAAAAGTCAGATTGTATTGGAGTCTATGGGCAAATGTTTTCATTATATGTTTGTAGTCTGAATTGCTAGTTTGAAACTTCAGTACAACATGATGTTCATTTTCCAAATAATGTCCCATTTAAAAGAAAATAGCCATGAAGCAGAGTGGTTCTAGGGCGTGGCTACCACATGATTGACGCACAGAGTGACCTGCCTATTATTCTGAATAGAGGCCAGAGCGATGGCTTGGACATTTAACTTTTTTTTTGCCTGAAAATTTCTTGTTCAGCATTCAGTTGTTCTAAAAGACACTCAGAGGGGTCGGCGATTCAATTTTTTCTGGTAAGTACATTTCGTTTTTTGCTAGCTAAAATTAGCATCCCTGTTAATATCACAGTTCAGGTGAATTGCAGATGCACCTTGCTAACCGATTGCTATGCTAACAGTACCTGGTCCCGGTGGGCTGGTAACCTATGTCAACTTGGGTTAGGCCCTGGAGGTGTTCAGTCAAAGCCCAATAAAAAGGTGAATTTAATCAACTTTAATCTAACAACATTTGATTTTTGTTCCTTGCACATGTGACCAATGTCTAAGTGATTTGCGTTAGTGTAATGCACAGAGTTAATGTTAGTTAATACATTGTCCGTCAAGACCTTGTGATAGTTCAAGTTAAGATAACATTACATATACAAAATGTGTAGAAAAATATTTGTAACATAGCAGATTGTTCATTTAATACTCAAAACAGTCCTCAACTGAAGTAGACATCCATCCACCTATTATGACAGCTGATAGATGTTTGTGATTAAGTATGGTCCACCACAT